GCCGCAACCTGGAGGAGTCTGGCCCCTCCACTGGGAGCGCAGCCCCCCCACATTCGCCCAGACCCCTCATCATCTTACCCTGCGTCCAGACGCATCCCCTCCACGCCCCCCACCTTCGCCCAGTATCCTGGGTACAACCTTGACCCCACCCCCACGCCTTCCATCCAGACTGCGGACCAGGTGTCCCGGCCCCCTCCCTGTCCCCGAGGGCGCCCCACCAGCTCAGCACAGGTGCCTCCACAGACCCTGCGCCCCCAGAAAAGAGACCTGTCCGAGGCCTGGGTCAGAGCTACAGGCCCCAGCAGGATCCTCCCACGCGGCCTCCTTCCCTTGCAGCATTCCCTCCCGGCATCCCCCTCCTCCAGACCACCCCCTTCCCCACTTACCTGGGCTCTCTGGCACCCCCTCTCCTCAGCTTCCTCTTTTTTCCTTGCTAATCCCTTTTCCAAGGGTCTCCCCTTCCCCAGGTTGGCCCATTTTCTGCAGATATCATTTTCCTCTGGGATTTTCTTCCCACAAGCTAGCCCCTCACCCCGATCATGCCCCGCACTCAGGATATAGGTTGAAGGCTTCGTGCTCCCGTCCAGGGTCTGTTCTTTACTGGGTGGCCCTCTCTGTCCCTCAGTTTCCTGGCCTGTAAAATAGGCATCTTCATGGTGCCCATGAGCTGGGTGAGGAAAGGTAGGGCCAGAGCTTCACCCAGGGCCTGCCTCCTGGTGAGTGCCCAAGCTCACTGGCACAGTGGCCCCACATCTCCCTGGATCCCTGGAGGTTGGAGTGGGGAGCTCTAGGTGGGGGAGCTGGGCGAGGCTGAGGGGCTTACTGGCCTTTGTGTGTGACCACACTTCCGGTGGGGGCAGGAGGCTCTGAGGAAGATCATCACCACACTGGCTGTGAAGAATGAAGAGATTCAGAGTTTTATCTACTCCCTCAAGCAGATGCTGCTGAACATGGAGGTGAGGGCAGGTGGATGGAAGGGAGGGAGGGGGCAGCCCTATGAGCTAGCCTATTGCTGCTGATACCTGTGGAACTCCGGGCCTGCTGCCAGGTCCAGGCCTCAGTTTCCCCATCTGAGCATGGGCTTTGGCCAATCCCAGCTGTTCAGACCTGCAACGTCTCTCCAAGGCGAACTCGGCCAAGGTGCAGGAGGACCTGGAGGCAGAGTTCCAGTCCTTGTTCTCCCTCCTGGAGGAGCTGAAGGAGGGGATGCTCATGAAGATAAAACAGGACCGTGCCAGCAGAACCTATGAGCTGCAGGTGTGTGCTTTGGGGGACTCTCCAAGACCCCTGCCCAGATGCCATCCCCACTGCACCCCTCAGATTCAACAGAGGTCAGCTGGCCTCATGTCCTTCTCCAAACCTGCTCCTTTTCCTGCATCCCCCAAGTGTTCCCAGGGTCCAGAACCAGACACCCTGATGATGCTGGCCTCACCTCCTCTTTCCCTGGTCTCTTGCCTGTCCCCTCCCTGGCCACAACCCATCAATTCCCCCATCCACCTGTTCTCCCTCTTAATCCCTGTTCATTCCACCCCCCTCCTCTCCAATGCTCAGCCACAACCCCACATCTGGCTTTTCCTCCCTCCTGTCCTCACCCAGCAACTCCAGTTTCTCAGCCCTTCCCATTGGTCTCCCAGATCTGATGGCCAAACACCCCCCATGGCTCCTGTGGGATTACTGGGGCTGCATTGAAACCTCCAGGGCAACTTCCTAACATCCCAGATTCCCATCCCCAGGGGATGTTGAGCCCTGGGGCTCAGGTGTGGCCTGGGTATGTGAGTTTTTCAGGGATCCCCAGGTGATTCTGATGTTCTGCCAGGAGCAACACCCAACCTTTCTCCAGCCTCCCTCTCCTGCCTGGAATTGGAGAAGGCTGCGATACCTTGGATCCCAAAGGCAGTGGGGAGGCCTGGGAGGGTTTGATGCATTGGGGTGAGGTGTTTCCTCCCTCAGTGCCATGCCACCCGCAGAACCAGCTGGCTGCCTGCACTCGGGCCCTGGAGAGCTCTGAGGAGCTTCTGGAGACAGCCAACCAGACCTTGCAGGCCACAGACAGCGAGAACTTTCCTCAGGTGGGGCCTTAGAAGCCATACTGGTAGGGCTGCCAGATAAAATACAGGACATCCAGTTAAATTTGCATTTCATATCCACCACAAGTAATTTTTTAGTAAAGAATGGCCCATGCAATATTGAATATAAGTATGTACCATGTGATCTTTGGGACATACTTATACTTTTTAAAAAAATTATTGGCCCTGGCCTGGTGGCTCAGTAGGAGCATCGTTCCAATGTGCCAAGATTGCAGATTCAATCCCTGCTCAGGGCACATGCAAGAATCAACCAGTGAATGCATGGATTGGTGGAACAATAAATTGATGTTTCTCTCTCTCTTCTTTTCTTTCTCTGAAAATCAATAAATAAAAATTTAATTTAATAATAATAGTAATTATTTGTTGTTAATCTGAAGTTCAAATTTAACAATGAATAATATTTTTAGTATAAGTATATCCCATGCAAATGTTTATATAAGTATTTCCCAAACATTGCATACATATTTATACTAAAATAATTACTTATTATTTATCTGAAATTTAAATTTAACAATATTTTTTTAATATAATATATCCCATGCAATATTTAGTACAGCAGGTCCTTGAATAACATTTTATTCAAAGTCATTTTGTTATAACGTTGATGAGGGGGAAAAATCTTGTGGAGTGTGCACGTTCCCTCCATATCTGCATGGGTTTTCTACCGGGACTCCAGTTTCCTCCCACTTCCCGAAGCTGTGCACATGAGGTGAATTGGTGTGCCTACACTGTCCCAGTCTGAAGTGAGTGTGAGGTGGGTGTGAGTGTACCCTGTGATGGAAGGGCATCTTATCCAGTGTGGGTTCCTATCTGGTGCCCTGAGTTGCTGGGAGAGGCCCTGGCCACCCACAACCCTGAACTGGAATCAGTAGGTTGGAAAATCATTCTCTTTCTAGTTTTTATTAATCTTTCTTAAATATACGTATAACTCACATTTATTTTAATGTTTAATATTAGAAGTGTTTGGGGTCATTAGAAGTTTGGTGATGTTTTTATGAGCAGAAATAGGCTATAGGAATGTACCTGTTGTTTATATCAATTATATGATAAAGTTGATTTTATTACTTGTTATTTTGCTTAAAGTTGCAGTTTCTAAGAACCTATTGATGACATTGAGGACTTACTGTATACATATGTTGTAAATATAGAATAAGACATATCTCTACTAAAACATCATTGTTGGTCTAAAATGCAAATTAACTGGCTGTCCTATATTTTTTATTTGCTAAATCTGCCAATTGTATGTTCTGGGCACTGGGCAGGTGGTGGGAGTAGGGGTGGGAGCCTGTCTTTGCCCTTTATCCTTTCAGGGCACAGCTAAGGGTTTCTGCCCCAGTGCTGAGGGACTTTGGCAAATGGTTGCCATGCTGGACCTCAGTCTTTCTGTCTGTACAGTGGCTTCCTAATTCAGTCGAGACAACTCTTTGAATTTTATTCTGTCCCTCCTTCTAGGCTGCCAAGCAACTCAAAGATGGGTAAGATACTGGATCTGGCCCCCACCCCAGTGCCCTGCCCCTGGTATGGAGGTGGGGACACCCAGGTGAGGGTCCCTTGGCCCAGAGCACTGGACCAAAACCAGGGGGAGGGAGTCACTCCCACACCTCAGAGGACCAGGCCTGGGCCCCCTGAGATGCCTGCCAGCAGGCTGCCTCCACTTCCTTCCCTGCAGTGTTACAATGGCTCCTGCCTTCCGGCTGTCATTGAAAGCCAAAGTCAGCGACAACATGAGTCACCTCATGGTGGACTTTGCCCAGGAGAGGAGGATGCTACAGGCACTCAAGTTCCTGCCTGGTGAGAGGGGAACTCACCAGGGTTTCAGAGAAGTGGCTGGGGAGTCTGGGAGGCCCTGAGACAAGGCCTAGAGTAAGGCTGACAGCCAGGTGTGGGAGCCCCAAGGATGCCCTGTGGATGGAGCCATGGAGAAGCCCCCTGGTGCCATGAGGAGGCCACACACCTGGGTGGAATCCTGAGGAAGCCCTGCCCTTGGTGCCAGAGCCCTAAAAGGCCCCACCCACCAGTGGTGGAGTTCCATGAAGGCCACGCCCCTAGTTGGTAGAGAATTCTGGAAATGTTCTACCTCTTAATGGTAGAATCCTGAAAAGGCCCAGCCATTTGTTGGTTGAAGCCTGAAAAAGTCCTGTCCCACCTCTCACCCTTTGGTGGAACCATGAGGAGGCTGCACTCTCAAACCCCAGAGCTCAGAGGGGACCCCCTAGTGTGTGGGATCCAGAGGAGGCTCCATCCCCAAGGAGGCCTGTCATGTGGGCATGGTTCAGCAAGGCCCGCCCCTGCTGGTGTAGGATCCTGACCGCCCCCCTCCCTTCTGTCCTGGTCAGTCCCCAGCGCCCCCATGATCGACCTGGCTGAGTCCCTGGTGGCAGACAACTGTGTGACGCTGGTGTGGCGCATGCCAGATGAGGACAACAAGATTGACCACTATGTGCTGGAGTACCGGCGGACAAACTTCGAGGGCCCGCCCCGTCTCAAGGAGGACCAGCCCTGGATGGTTGTGGAAGGCATTCGGCAGACAGAGTACACCCTGACTGGTAAGGGTGGCTCAGCCCAGCTGCCAACCCCCCTGTGCAGCTCAGTCCCTCCTGGCTCCCATTTCCCTATTAGCCAAATGGAGGTTGGTAGATGATCCCCAATTCTCATGGGGTATGAGAGCAACCTGACTGGACTGATCAGGAGTAGCAGGAAGTAATAATAACAAAAAGGATATTGATGACAGCAACTGTACCATTTATTGAGGGCTCACTGTGTGCTAAGTGTCTTACCCACAGGTAACAGGCAGGCTTATCATCACCATTTTACTGATGAGGGAACACAGGAGGAGAAGGCACCCTATATCTGCATCTTATCTCTACTCTCCAGCATTCATTCATTCATTCATTCATTCATTCATTCATTCATTCATTCATTCCAGTTTATTGAGTGACTACATTGTGCCAGGCGCTGTCCTTGCAGTAGTAAGAAAGCAGGCAAAAATCCCTTCCCTTCTTCTGGGGCCACCCTCTCAGTATTTGGGGATTTCCTTGGCAGTTACAAGAAAGCAGGAAGCTTGGGGGAATCCACCCAGCTGGTAGGGGAGGGTCTGATGGAGGAGAGTTGGGGGTTCCCAATGAGTTTCAGCTCTCCTGTGCCAGGGAAACCCTCAGGGGCAGGGAGAGCCTTGCTGACAAGATAACTAGCACCACAGCTCTTGGGCTGTAATCAGCCTGTTTCTTGTCTGTAATTAGCATACATGGTTAATAATGACTATGCTAATTGCAGGAAAGGAAAGCTACCAGTCTGCAAGTGGGGCTGAGAAGCTATTGGCTTATCCTTTGCATGGGAATCAAAATAAACACACCCCATTTTTTCCTCAAATTTCTTTAATTTGTGATAAAATACACGAAGCATAACATTTACCGTCTTAACCATTTTTGAGTGTATTATTCACTGACATTAAGTACATTCACATTGTTGTGCAACCATCACCACCATTCATCTACATAACTTTTCATTTTGCAAAACTGAAAGAAATGCTGTCCCCATTAAACACCAACTCCCATTTCTCCTCGCCCAGCCCCTGGCTCCCACCATTCGACTTCCTGTTCCTATGACTTTTACTACTAGAAGTACCACATATGAGTGGAACATACAGTATTTATCCTTTTGTGACTGGCTTTTTCATTGAGCATGTCTTCCGGGTTCAACCATGTTATAGCAGGTGTCACAATTTCCTTCCTTTATTTTGTTTTTTTGTTTTTTCAATCCTCACCTGAGGATATAGTTTTCCATTGCTTTCCAGAGAGGTGGGGG